GCCCCACGGAAGCTCTGGGGCAGGTTAGAAGTGAGTGTGTGTGAAAGCGGGTCCTGGCTCAGGGACTGCCTTGGCCGGTCCCCTCGGGCTGGTGGGGGGTGGTGCCCGCAGGGCCAGCCTGTGGCTTGCAGCCCTAGCCATCCAGAGCCAGGTCAGCAGAGCGAGGCCTTCTGGCTCCTGTAATTACCGGGGCGAGAGCTGTGGCTGAGTGTTGGAGCAGGGGTGATTCCTCCGGAGCAGGCCAGCTCTGAGGCCTCCACAGAGGACCCAGTCCGTCTGAGACGGACCAGCCAATGGCAGGCCTGGCCCATCCTTTCACGTCCCTAGGCCCATCTTTCCAGCCGTCTGCCCCATTTTGGAGAAAAGAACGGTGAGGGGGCAGTTTGCCCTGTTCTCTGGTCATGGCCTGGGGCTCCTGCCCCACGAGTTAGTGATCCCTGATGACATTTTAGAACATTTACTGACGACCTACTATGTGCCAGGCAATGTTCTAAGCACTTTCTATAGATTAACCCATTTAAACTCCACAACCATATGAAGCAGATCTTAAAATTAAGACACGTTGCAGAGGAGGATAGGGACACAGAAGGTTAAGTAACGTGCCTAAGGTCACACAGCAGGTGAGTGGGATGCGGACACAAGGTTTGAACCCAGACGGCTGGCCTCTGGAGGCCATGCTCTTGGGAGTTCAGCTAAGTTGGCTCCGAAAGGCGGGGTGAATGCAGGGTGACGATGCCTGTGTTTGGGGGCGTGCCGGCCCTGGCTGACAAGGCAGGAAGAGACCTCGGGTCACGTCGTCCCAGCCTTGCATCCGAGGCTGGTCTGGGCCAGGGGCTCCCAAGGTCAGGGTGATCTCCTCTTCTACCTTGGCCTTGGTGAGACCTCCCTGATAGCGGGTCAGGATCTGGACCTGGCTTCCCTGCGGTCTACCGGGGGGCCAGCAGGGATGGGGTGGGGTGACACCACGAATATCCGTGACCAGCCAGCTCTCGAGGTTACAGACACCTCCTCAAGAGCTGCGGGGGAGGGAGTCGGGGGGCGCTCTGGGAGACGTGACCTTGGGTCTGGGCCCTGGGTGGAGGGGGCCCCCCAGGAAGGGGGCCTGGCTGTCGTCAAGGCTCAGAGGCCTGCAGGCTGTGACGCACGCGTCCCAGGGGCCTTGGACCGGCCAGGCCAGCGGCTTCGAGATCGTGAGTCCTGGGGCCTCCCCTCTGGACAGGTGGTTGTGCAGACCTGGGTCATGGGGGCCTCCCACGCTGGAAGTCTGGGCGTCGTTGGGCTGGCAGGAGACAGTCGTCACCCTCAGGGAGCTAATCCAGGTAGCGCTGGGGTTGGTAGTGTTACTGATCCTGGGGTCGGGCCAGTGAGTTTTGAAGAACTCACGGTGAGTCTGAGTTCTCGCCACAGTTGACAGCCGCTGGGCCACGGCATCAGCTCCTTGAGCCCAGAGCCTGGGCCTCAGGGGGACGGGATAATGCGCAAGGGCTGTGGGAGGAGGCCGGTGTGGAAGAAGGGGGACTCTCTGGGACCCGCTCAAGGGGCTGCAGGAGCGAGGGGACTGTGGGCTGGGGAGCGCCACAGGGCCGCTCTGGGAATGGGGAGGAGGTGTGGGGCCGAGTCTCCGGGAGGGCTGGTTTCAGGGGAGTGAATGGAGGGGAGAACACTGAGTTGGGGGGGCTCTTTCACGAACTTCAGCTATGAAGGCGGGAGAGAAAATGAGGGGCTGGCAGAGGGGGGAAGTCAGGACTGTTGTCACCATCGGGATGAGAGAGGGGTGCGCACGTGTGTGGGCTGATGTGCAGGGGGCAGAAGTGAGGCCCAGGCCAGGGGTGCCCCAGGGCAGAGTCCCCAGGAGGCAGGAGGGACAGTTGGCCTTGGACAAGAGGCGAGACCCCTGGGGCTTGGGAGGGGTGTAACTGGGGGTCAGCGCTTCTGCTGCTCCAGAACGTTTTCTTGGGTCAGGGAGGAGGCCCCTGTGGGGATGACCCTGGCTGTAGATCGGGAGAGGCCGGCCCGGCACCCATGGCCGTGGGGTGGCTGGGGGCCCCACCTTGCACGCCCCAGGCTGGTGGAGGGCTTGGCCTGGGCTGTCGGAGGCTGCTCCTGGGCGGGAGGCCCATCCTGTGACCCACCAAACCTCAGCCTCCAGGAAAGAGGCTAAAAATAAGGCTGTGGTGGGAAGAAGGGAGGGGTGTGTGGGCCCGAGCCAGGCTGGGGCCCAGAGGAAAATCCGAGACGACCAGCGAGCCACTGTGACACATGATTCCCGAGCCAGCGGCCAGTGGATCCCGCCTGCCTGTGGCCGTGGCCCCTTCCTGGCTGCTCGGGGGGAGAACAGCCCCTTACAGCTTCAGTGAGGCCCTGTTCCCAGGGAGGGTTCTTCCTGGATCCCAGGCTGCAGACACAAGCCTGGACTCTGGGGTACTGGGGTCCTTTGTCTTGGGGTCTGGCCTGCCCAGAGTTCCCAGGACGTGCATCTGGATGTGAAGCGTCCTCCCCCTCCCAGGAGCTGTGTGTATCAGGGGAGGCAAGCCCTGGGCCTTGGGGAGCTGCCGGGGCGGAGCATGGCCGTCGGGGGGGCTAGGCTGTGTCTCGGCGAAGAAGCAAGAGTGCTCTGATTTGCTGGGGACACATGCTGTCTTTACAGTGACCATTTTGATGTGGCTGGCTCCCCCAGAGTGAACCCGCTGCCCTCCTCCTGGCTGTGCCCGGGGGCCCAGGGGGAGTCCTGCCCTCCTGAGGCCGCCCAGCTGCACACCTAACGTGTGACATCTCTGCTCTGGGTTCTGCAGATGACCTCCCGCCACCCAGCTCTGCAGTGGCTCCTACGCGTCCCTGCGCCCACCCGTCTCTGTCCACAAGCGTCCGCTGTGGGCTGGCTGGGCGCCGGGCCCTGGGCTGGGGGGGTGACAAGAGCGAGGGACATGCAGAGGCAGAAGAACATATTTGGTTTCCAGTCTCCTCTCGGACCCTTACGTGCTGTGTGACACATGGGACACGTAACGTGGGGCCGAAAATCCTAGGCAGCAGCAGGATAGAAGGAGCATCTGCAGAGCCTCCCACGGTCCTTGGACCTTAGCAGCGACCACAAGCGGTGGCTCTTAGGTCGTAGCCCCAGTGGACCCAAGGAGCGCGTACCCATGTCCCTACACGTCTTCCCTGTCGAACTCGCTAATCCCAGGGTGACGAGTGCTAAAGAATGGACAGGGGAGCGTGGGGCCACCTGACTTACTGAGGGCGATGGGAGGGGAGAAACCGGGAAGACTTCCCAGAAGAGGAGGCGCCTGAACTAGTCTTGAAGGAGTGGCCACAATAGCCCACAGGGTAGACGGGGACGGGTGGGCAGTCGGGGGGCTGTGAATAGTCTGGGTGGCTGGAGCATGGCATGGGGGGCTGGTGGCTGAAGCCTGTGGCCTGGTGAAGGCTGGGGTCCTCATCTGAGGCTGACGGCATGAGAGAAGGTGGGGAACGCAGGCCCCTGCTCAGAAGTAGGAGCGAGCGGGTTGGGGCTAGGAGGGGAGTGCAGGTGGTTCCCCAAGGTTGGGCCCACTTGGTGGCCCAGGACAGGCCCCCGGCTTCCGCCTTCGGGGCATGGCCTCAGCCCGCCTCGGTTATTAAGTCATTAACTGGGCCTCACACAGCCTCTTCATTATGGGTAATTATGGTAAATCCTCGGCATTCACAAGGAGGAGGCCAGTGTCTCCCTGCTGTCAGGCCTCATCCCAGGAAAAGGCTCTCAGGAGGACAGCCGCCAACGGGAGCCTCCCGCAGGCCTGGGGGTGCCACTCTGCCCACTTTCCTGCTCTATGACTTGGGGCGTGTGGCTTAACCCCTCGTGCCTCAGTTTCCCTGTCTGTCCAGGGGGGAATAGTCCCGGCCTCATGGGGTCACGTGGGGCTCGAACCAGGAAAGCAGTTTCGGCTGAGAGATGTGCACCATCTTCATCCTCGTCACTATCATCATGATGAGCTCTGGGGATCCCCCGAAGACAGGCCCGGTCCCTTCCTCGGTCCCCTGCATGGGGGGCGTCCGGGGCAGCCCACCCCGTCCCCTCCTCCTTTTTCCCCTCTCCCTTCTCCGTACACATGTGCAGGGGTCCAGGGGGACCTAGCCCCCTGCTGTCCTCAGAGATAAGCCAAGGTGGGAGCCCCTGGGGCCTGCAGGGCTGGGAGCTTGCTCAGGAGCCTGGTTGAGCTCTGGGAGAGGGGAGGGGCGTCCAGGGGGTTGCTGGCCCCCATGCGGCCATGGCTCTGTCTGCGCACGGTTGTTGCTGACTTCTAGTTCTTCTGGTTGCCCTCCTGCTCTGCTGCTCCCCCCCCAACCCCCCGACATGCCCAGTCCTAATGGGAGAGCAGAGATGGCCAGGACTTGGGAGAAGGGCAGGCATGGCCTCAGGGGTCCCCTTCCCCCGAAGAAGCCTGGAGCCCTGTCTGCTTCCTTCTGCACCTCTGCTCTGGTATCAGAAAATTGGGGGTCCTGGTGATAACCCCGAGGACAGCTGGGTGGGCGTGTGCACGTGCAGGTGAGCAGGTGTGAGCCCTGCCTGTGACCTCTCTGCCCGCTCCCCAGCTGGAAGGCCTCTTGGCAGTTCTCAGGGGCTTTGTGGCCTCTCCGAGGGCAGGACCCAAGCTGCAGTGAGGCCACAGGTGGGCAAAAGTTCCACGCTGGCTGGTGGGAGGTTTGGCTACCTCACAGAGCCAGGTGACCCCAGAGGAGCCCTGCCCCTGTGTGCCTCAGGCCCCTGCAGTGGCCGAGTGAGAGGGTGGGACCCTATCCTGGGAGTGAGCACGGGAGGCCCCGTGGGGGCAGCATGGCAGCTCAGGCTGCAAAGTCCCCGGTGGCCTGGCAAACTGGGCAGAGTGGTGTCCTGTAGATGGGGCCAGGTTGGGCCCTGCCAGGGGGACCGAGGGCCGGGCTTGGCTTGGGGGTCTCCTAGGCGGGCTGGGGGGATAGGGGAGGCCAGGCGTCACACATAAGCACCCTCTGTCTTCCCCTCCCAGGCGTCCTTCTGGACATCCAGCAGCACTTTGGGGTCAAGGACCGAGGCGCCGGCTTGCTGCAGTCAGGTGAGGCCCCCCACCCCTGCCAGGGTTCTTCCCTGCTGGTCTCCTCCTGACTCACCAGGAAGGACTGGAAAGAACGTGTGCTTTTTTAGACGGCAGGCTGAGGGGGCAGTGGGAGGTGTACAGGAGTGTGGCCACGGCCCTAGAGGTGACCCTTCTTTTTGGGTCCTGGGGCCTCATCAGGACCCACAGGTCCAGGTCCCACCCTGAGGCTGGTGGAGGGAGCTCCGTAGGTTGCTGTGCTAGACGGAGTCAGGGGGCCTTGCTGACCCTGTCTCCGTACCCCCCACCCCGGCCAAAGCTTCCATCGCCACCAGGCTGGGGACCCTCTCCTAGATGTCAAAGCAGGAAATCCCCTTGGTCAGTCCCCAGGCAGGAGCCTGAGAGCCTGGGTCCTCTGCCCTCTGGGCTGGGGCAGTGTGGCGGGCCGTGAGCAGTCATCCCTGCCTATCTGCCCCGTGCGGCAGGCCCATGCCTTCTTGGTCCCTGCCCAACCCACTCCGTGGCCCCAAGCTTGCTGTGTGGCCGAGGGCCCGGTTCCTTTGGCTCTGATTCTCTTTGGCCCTGGAGTCCATTTGTTGTGAGGCCTGGTCGGACGTGTGGGAGGAAGTCCATGGTCTGCATTCCAGTGTGTGAACCCCTTCCCCGGCCTGGGCTCCCCGGGGAGGGAGGGTGGAGGGAGCTGGCTCTGTCCAGGGACCTGCCTGACCTGTCTAGGCAGCATTCCAGGGAGGGCTGCGCCAGGCCTCTGCGGCCTCCGTGAGCTTCTAGAGCACCGTGGCTCAGCCAGGCCCTGCAGCCTGTGCCCGTCCCCAGGTGGGGTCTTTGGGGCTCAAAGAGAGGGTATGCGAGTTTCAGGGTCAGCCCCAACAGACAGTTGAGTGAGCTGGGACAGGGGCAGGGCCATGTGGTCCAGCACCCGCAGGGTGACCAGTCCCTGCCTCTGCCCACATCACTCCACCCAGGACAGGAGCCCAGACCTGTCCCGGGCCCTTCCCCCCTTGCAGGGCCTCCTTGCTGGGCCAGAGCCAGGCAGCCTGCCCCAGGACAGGTGCCTCCAGCCTCCTGGGCTCTGAGCACAAGGTAACTGCCACTCAGCCTGGAAGAGAGCGTTTCAGCCAGATGTAGCATGGCGGGGGGTGGCAGGAGAGAGCCCAGCTTTCCAGCCCCCTCCCTCCGTGGCCCCTGAGTCCCTGGGGACCCAGCCGAGTCTCATCCCCTCCTGGCCTTGCCGCCTGACGGGGAGCCAGGATCTGCCCCAGCTTCCTCCAATCAACCCCACCAGTGGGGTCAGGGCCGGTGCAGCTCCCGGGGAGGGGTGGGAGGTGGTGAGGCTCCCAGGGCTTATGTCCACAGCCACCTTCCTGGCTGAGAGAGAGATGTCACGGCGGCCTCGGCTGACCCCTGGTGACCTGGCTGGAGGTGGACAAAAGAGCCAGCAGCATGCTCCTCTCTGGTTCTTCCTCCCAGGAGCTTCCTTTGCAGCTTTCCTTCCCAGACAAAGGGGCAGAGGTTGAGGGAGGAGTGATGACTTGCGGGCCTGGGATGGGAACTCTGTGTATGCTATCTTCTTGGCTGGGGGGGCGGGGGGTGCGGCACACAGGCAGCCACTGGCTTGGAGAGGCCTGTCCCAGGTGTCTGAGCTTCTGGTGTCTCTGTCCTCAGGGTGGCTGCCTCTGGGCCGTGGTATCTCAGAGTCCCTTACCCCACGGCCTTCACCCTGCAACCCACCCCCCGTGCAGCCAGGCTGCCACTGGAGCCCAGAAGCCAGGCCAGCCAGACCAGGATGTGACTCAGTGGGCAACCAGGCAGATCAGCTAATTGGCCTGGGCCCCAGGCACCTGTCTCTTCCCCAAGCCCTTGATAAGGTCGGAGCCGGGTGGAGGGCGCCAGCCAGGTGCTGCGGTTTGCGCAGATCAAAGGACGAGGCTGAGAGCCGGGTTTTCTGCTCATCTGTGGGCACCAGGGGCTGCTGTGCCCGGAGACGGGGTGGGGTGGGGGTGCTGAGGGTCAGGCCTGGGCCTGCCCCTGCTGTTTCTCCTGGGACCAGATCTTGAGAGCTGGTTTGGGAAGAGCCTGCCTTTGGCAATCCCCTAGCAGATCGTGGCCAGCTCAGAGCTGGGCCCGGAGTCCCTGCAGAAGCCGAGCTCAGCCTCTGTGATTACGGCTCTTGCTGTCTTGGGAAACCAGGAGCCTCCAGAGCCTACACCCAAAGGGGTAGCTGCTGCTGAGCCCACTGCTGGCCAGGCCCTGGGCTGGGCTCTGCCACAGACTCCATCCCCACATTCCAGTACGTTCCCTCTATCAGTGGAATGGAAAACGTGTCCCGTCACCACCAGGCACGGGGCACCGTGGGGGCCTAGGGGGGTGCTCTGCCTGGCGGCAGGTGGGTAAGACTTCCCCGAGGAGGGGACATTGGAGTGGGGCTTTGAAGGATGAGTTAGAGTTTGTTCGGGGTATAGGACGTCCAGTCACCCTCCTTCTCCCACTCCGAGCTGGAGAAAATATGCCAAGAAAACATTTAAATTACATAGCTGAGCTTGAAAGCTCAAGCTAGCAGGGGAATTCCCAGGTGCCAGAAGCAGAGAATTGAACCGAAAAACAGGAGTGGGCGCCAGTATTCAAGCCAAGTGTTGCAGAGAGCCTGGGGACCAGTATCTGTCATAGGAGCTTGTTACGGTATTTTTAGTGTAAACATTTTTACGATGAGAAATTTTAAATACACAGAAAGAGAGAGAGCAGCACGATGAATCTCCACAGAGCTGTCGCCCACTCGGGCCCAGTGTCCAGGCTCCGGGTTTCTTTGCTCTGAGGATGGGCCTGTGTAGCCTTGGCTTCCAGCGTCACATGGGTGACTTGGTTTCCCCCCAGAGCCCAGGGCTGTGCCCCCAGGGCCAGTGGCAGTTTCTCTGTCTCTGAGGGGACATGTCCGTCTGGCTCGGGCTCTCTGCAGAGAGCTGGAGGGTTTCCGGGCCCTTCCACACGAGGGACCCCGCAGAGGCCGATCTAGGGCTGCTCCTCGGGGTCGTGATCCGGGGCCTGCATGGGACACAGATAGTGGTGTCTACTGAGGACAAACTCAAACGGAAAATGAGCAGAGCCCACAAGGAGGAGGCCAGCCGGCGCTGGAGAATGGGGAAACCGGTCCCTGATCTGCCTTTAGGGCTTCAGTGCTATGTGAGCTTAGTTTCCAGAGTTCCACAGGAAGCGTAGCACTTACAAGACGGGAAGAGCACCTTAGTGAACAAGAGCGGGGGAGACGCTTCAGAGACCTCAGTTCAAGATTCTGGAACTGAAACGTGTAAGCACTGAAATTTAACAATGTGACCATTAGACCCAGTCGAAGAGAAAATTAGTAAATCAGAAGATGGGTCTGGGGAAAGCAGCAGGTCCCGGGAAGGGGAGGGAGAGTGAAGGCTCTGGTGAGTGGAGTGTGGGGGCAGGGCCGCGCTGCAAAAGGCATCTGGCTTTTGTCTTGGGATAGTGGGGAGCCAGAGAAGGCTTTGGGGCAGGCAGGTCCCTGTTGGATGTATGCATCAGGATGTTCTCTCTGGGGCGGAGCGTGGGGGTGGATGGGAGAGGGGAGGCAGCTCGGGGCTGTGGTTGGAGTGGTCACGAGGATGTTCCAGGTTGGGGATGGGGGCAGAGTGGGGACAGAGGAAGAGCCAGCTCAGACTGAAACCAGACGGCAGCTCTGCTCTGGGGCCATCTCCTGGCTTTGCTTCCTCCCCACTTCGTCCAGCAAGGCCGTAGCTGGGCCACCCCTGGGGCTGTACCCCCAGGACCGTCCTGTCCCACGGAGGCCTAAGAGCTCATCGCCCCGGGGCCTGAGGGGCCAGCCCAGGGCTTCCATCCTGAGCGGTGGGTGAGGTGGCTGGGCTGCCCTGGGTCCTCCCCGTCGTTCGGCTGCCTGGGCATCCATCCTCCACGTCCTGCGGGCAGAGCCTGCCTGAGTAACCCTCCCTGCCCACAGGAGATGGAGGATGGCAAGTCTCCCCAAATAACAGCTTGGCCAGATTTGGACTTTGTAAAAATAGCCCTGGTTCAGCTCAGGCTGAGGTCGGGGCTGGACCCGAGCTCCAAGGCCACTGTGGGGGAGCCCAGGGGTCCCCCAGCTCAGACCTCAGCCACTCCATCTCCAGGACCATCTTCCGGGGTTTGACAGGGCCAAGTGTGCCCCAGGAGGGGCTCGGCAGCCCCACAGGTGGGGTCGGAGGGGCTCAGAGTCCTCAGCGGGGTGGTCCTGGGCTGCTGGATGCGGGCCGCTCTGCAGGTCCACAGAGAAGGCCCTCAGCCAGCATGCTGCCCCTGGGGCTCAGGAGCCTGGGCAGCCCCTTACCGACCTCTCCCCAGCCCTGTGGGGCGGGGGCACCACCCATCCCACAGAGAGGCTCTGAGGCCCTGCCCCCTCTGCCCTGGCTCCCTGCCTGCCGGCCCCATTGTCCCCGTCCTGCGGGCTCAGCACACGTGAGCTGCCGAGGGCTTCCCCACGCCCGGACCACAGGATGTGCTCGTGTGGGAACTGCTGGGAAAGCCGCCCCTACCGAGATCAGGGTGGGGCCGCCCGGCTGCCCAGAAAGCTCTCCTCCGACAAAGACCGCAGGGCTGGGGGTAGGGGGCAGGGGAAGCTTCTAGCCTGGCTGTGTTTATTTCCAGCCGGGTGGCCGCTGACCACGTAAGCCTCTGCACCCCCACCAGGTACCAGGTCCTCTGCCCTTCCTTCTGCCGGGAACGGGTTTCCTTCTCTCCCTGCCCTGATCTTGTTCAGGCCCCCATGCTGGCCTGTGACGTCCTGAGGGCCCGGACAGGTCTCCTCTCTTGTCTGCCCCGAGCAGAGGGGAGGGTTGCACAGACTGATCGATCGCTGTCCCTCCTGACCCTTGACACCCTTGTCCCCGAGGGTCCAGGGTCAGGATGGTCGCTGTGTCCTTTTGGGCGAGTTCCTCCCCCTGTCAGTGGCCCAGCTCTAAAATGGGATGACGTGGTGGAGCTCGGCTGGGGCCAGGCAGTGAGGACAGGGTGCGCCTGCTCCCACAGGAGACTCACCTGGGGTCCTGGGCGGCCGTTCTCTAGATGGGCCGGCGGAGAGCCAGGGGTCAGCTCTGCTGTGGGCGGCGGGTGGGGGTGGCCTGGGGCGGCTCTCCCCTTGGGCCCATCCACACTCTCCTCGAAGGGGGACAGTGGACATGCCGTGGTTGTCCACGGGCTCCTCCAGCGCCTTCCCCTGCTCTGGCCTGGCCCACCTTCCTACTGTCCCCCTTCCCCTCGCCGCGGTCTGTAGTGTGATTTAGAGCGAGGACCCTGGAGTTAGACAAATGGGGTTTAACCTCTGGCTCGGCCACCCAACGAGCTGTGTGACATCACTCCTTTCGGCCTCTGTACCCTCCTGTGGGATGAAGAGAATAGTGAGGTGCTTAGGTCCAGGGCGTGTGCTTGGACCCGCGGTCGGTAAGTGTTCTGTAACGACAGCTGAGGTTCTTGGTAACAGTAAGCTCCTTGCCGCCTAACCTTCACGTGGTATTGCTTATAAGACTTGTGATTTATAGTTTAGTGTATAGTCTTGATCTTAAGTATGATCATCCTGGTAAACTCCTATGCATCCTTCAGTGCCCACCTCCATGAAGCCTCTCTCCACTCTGCTTGGCCCTCCTTGCTGGTTTCCAAACTGGCCAACCCATGGACTGGGGTCACTCTTACTCTGATTTTTTTCTGCCTACTCCCCCCACCCCCCCAGCACAGACAGGCACAGAGGGAACAAGTCTTCCCCTGTGAGTCCTGACAAGGCCCACCTCCTGGTCTGATCTCAGGCAGGCCCAGCAGGAAAATTCTTTTTCTAGATATGAGGAAGTAATTTCTGTGTTGACTAATCTAAACAAGGGCCCAGTGTTGACCAAGGCTGCAGGCTCTGGGCGGGGCCTGGCGTCAAGCACTTTAGGTGCTATCTTATCCCGCACTCCGAGCAACCCCGGAGTTGCTATTTCTATCTTCATTTTACAGACGAGGAGGCGATTGTTAGATTTTCAGGAACGGTGTGAGCTGGCTATTGCCCACAAGCATTACCGAACACTGGATTTTGTGAACTC